CCCTGCCGTAAGCCGTGTTTTGAAAAGGGGGGTATGCGCTTGCATGAAAACGGATGCGCTTCCTAACTAACTCAGGGTGAAGTGTGAAAATTATTTTATTTGAAGACAAAGAGTGATACTTTTATTTAATGAAACTTTTGGGGAAAAATGTTATTTGCTGAACAGTTTTTTTTCTCATTTGTTTGTTTTCTGTTTCAAATGATTCAGTCAGTGCTTTTATTTCAAAATGGTGATTTGATCATTTCCCTCAGGCGAGAGAGAGGTTTTTTTTATTTTGTTTTGTTTTACCTTTTAAAATGAGATGCAGAGTTAAAAGGGAAACATATAATGTCTCATTCTAACCTGAAGACTGGTTTACATGCCATTTAAAGCTATAAATGAAGTATTTCTAACTTCTTGGAGGAAGTGGAAGAAAGAACAAGATGAATATTTTTTTCTCTTCTTTCTTTATATTAATTGTTTATTTTGTTGTTTATCTGAGGTTTCTTTTAATGAAGGAGCAGCATTTAAAGGGCATTAAAAAAAGAAGTGTTCAAATGCCTGACATTTTATTGAGATTCTGTTTTGAATTAAATAGAACTGTTTCATTAATAATGTCTTTTTTGTTGTTGTTGTTTTTTGTGTGTGTGCTGTTTTTATGTGATGGGGGAGTTTTTCCTGATGGTCCCTCTGCTCTATCTGCTTCCACTCCAGCCACCTGAGACCCGAGGACTGGACTGACGATGGACATTTGGAGAATGGACAGCGTTTGCTGAGGCCAGCACTGAGATGTCAAGACCAAGATCCAGAACAATGAAGGCCTCCCGTCCTGACCAGCAGAAGCTGATCTTCACCAGCAAGCAGCTTGAAGGTGGCCGCACCCTGTCCACTACAACATCTGGCAAGTGTCCACTTTTCACTCAGCACCATGACGGCGAGATAAGGTGGGCCACGTGTGCCGTGTTTTGCCTAACACTGATACCCCTCCACCCTGCAACATTTCTTTCAACATGAACAGTAGCAAAAAAGACTTCAAGATCCGGGTGGCTGTTTATCTGTCCAGCT